ATGAAGGAGCCCTACAAGGAATAGCAGCTATAACTTTTCAGCCCTAAACCCCAAACCCTGGGCTCTAAACCCTAAACCTCCAAACCCGAAATGCATAAAACCTAAACCCTAGAATCCCAGTTTCCTAAGCCCCCGTGACAGCGTTTCAAGCCCCTAATATAGGGGCCTTAACAATTAAAACAGGGCTTTTGCGGTATGTTCTACTATAATTAGAATAAGGAGCCCCCCTCAAATAGTATAGGTAATCATTTAGGCCCCTATAGTACACCCACACTAAGGAAACCGAACAATCCCGTAAAGGAGCCCTTATAGAACCCTTTCCGGTCATGGTAACTTATATCGATTCCGGCCCCTAAGTTCAGCTCCTAAGGGATTTAATTTCAGTTACCATCATAAGGAAACTTTGTTATTTACTAAAGATTCCTGTTATAAGTAACTTAAGTTAAGTTCCTTAACATAAGAAGGAACCCCCCCGAGATAGTATAGGCAATTATTTACAGTGACACCCGTGAAAGCGATTCAGGCCCCTATGTTACGCCGGCTCATAAGGCTTCCGTTGCTTCGCAACAGGCCATGAAGAACTCCACTCTGGCAAAGGCAGCTTAGGGCTTAGGGCCGAAGGTGAGGGGTTTATGGTTTTGGTCCTCAGGGTTCTCGGGTTCAGGGGTCTAGCGGTTTAGGGTTTAAGGGTCTCAGGTGAGGGCTCAGGATTTGGGCTTCGGGGGTTCAGGATTTAGAGATCAGGGTTTAGGGCTTTAGCGTTCTAGTCTAAGGTTGGGGTGTGATTGTGAGAATATCTGAAGAGATCTTGTTTGCAAGCTTCTTGCCGAGACCACCGGAGGTTTACGGTTGCTCTTGTTCGAATTCGGATCATCATTGTCGCGGCTTAGATTCCAGCCTTGTACGCAAGAAAGACTCTGGCTGTCTATTTTCGGCTTGATGGGGCTTGGGATTCAGGCTTTGACATCACGCGAAATCAAGGATCTAATGGTGCTGGGTTTTTGGCCTTGGGCTTCTGAGCCTTTGTAGCCGACTGGAGCTCAGATGTTTGCCGACTCTGGCATCGCCCGGATGCGAGCAATAACAGTTCAAAGACCAAGGCTGGGGCACTGCCAGTCCATGACGAAAAGACCGTACTTAAAGGCTCATGGGACTTAATAAGTAAGGTTATAAGTAGGTTATAATTAGGATAACCCCACTTAGGGGACTTATAACCCCAGTTATAACCTACTTACTAAGTCCCATGATCCTCTAAGTGCCAGTCGAGGAATAGAAACCCGAATGCGCCAAAACATAGAATATAGGCTTCGGGGGGAGGGGGGGGTGGGTATACGATACCATGGTAAGTAAACCGAAGTAAGGTTTTACAAAGCTCCTACAGTGTACTGAAACAATCTGAGTCCTCAGTTTCCAGATTGGACGCAACCTTGGAACCCTCCATCTCTCCATCTGACAGGCATCCAGAAGTCTAAGTGGAAGAAGGGCCTGGGTGTATGTTACAGGGGGGATGTAGAGATTCAGGCTAGAAAAGTCTCCGACCGTCGTGCGCCCCAGCAAACATGGTAGGCCTGGCGAAGTTTTAAACCTCATAATGGATGATGGAGGCACTGCCGACACCGTTTGGGACATGAACAGTGACTGCCTGACGACCTCGACTGTCGATCCACATATGGATGACCTACACTTTGCTGGCCAAGAAGTTCTTCTCGTGTCATTCTGGCTCGGCTGTTCTGACACTGTCTTTCGTCATGGCGCCTAAGATGCCGTAGGATGCCAAAACAGCCGGGCCGGGTGCTTTAATACTGTCTAAGCATCCACGCCCTGAATCCCAAATCCTACAAGCCCTAAGCCCTAAAAGCCCTAAACCCTAAAAGCCCTAAACCTAAACCCTAAACGCCCTAAACCCTAAAAGCCCTAAACCCTAAAAGCCCCAAATGACGACAGTGATCCTTGGAGTGGCCCCTGCCTTCGGCAAGAGGCCAGCCGCTTGCAACAGTGTGGGAGGAAAATACGGGCACCCTATTAAGGGTATCTTTAAGGGGGTTCCTTTAAGGGATCTATAGGGGGTTTGGGGTTTATATCATCAACCGTATTTTGGGGTCCTTATGATAAGGATCCTACTATTCTGCTAAAATGGGGTCCCCTATTCATAATGGGGTACCCTACCAGGACCCGGGTACAAATCAGGGTATATGGTCCCAAAATAAGGGGCATTTAGGGTCTAATAGAGGGTAGATGGAGGGTCTAGGTATTTGGGGGTCCTTCTGATAAGGATCCTACTATTCAGGGCACTGTAATGGGGTCCCCTATTTGGGGGTCCTTCGGTTGATGAGAAAAATCCCTGCATTACCCACAATAAGGGATATACCATAATTCCCATAGTTTAGGGTCCTTAAGGTAATGCAGGATTTATATCATCAACCGTATTTAGGGGTCCTTATGATAAGGATCCTACTATTCAAGGCACTATAAGGGGGTCCCCTATTTTCGGAAACTCCCATGTGGCATTGTTATGTTCTGGGCTTTCAGAGGGACGTCCCTCAAGGGCTCAATGCGGCTCGGGTTCAGACTGGCCTCAGCTGAAGTTGCCAATTATGTTAGATCTTATGTTATAGCACGTTATAGCACATCGCCAATGGGCTTTGCACCCAAGAGGCCCACAACCCAAAACCCTTAACTCTAAATCCTAAATTCCAAACCGTAGAAGCTCTCAACCCTAAACCCCAAAGTCTACACCCCAAGCTCCACGCCTAAACCTGAAACTCTAAACCCTCAACCCCAAATTCTAAACCCTAAGCTCCACGCCAAAACCCGAAGCTCTGAACCCTAAACACTAGGCCCAAGAGGCGGCGCCAATTTTTGGCTTCGGTTCGGCCAGGTCATGGTCTCCTGAGAGAGCACTTGAAGTTAGGGTTTAATTACCGTAACCCACAGGAACCTACCTTTTTGTCCAGAACCTACCTTTTTGTAGGGTCCCAAAAGATTCATAATAGGAAAAATAATGGGAACCTACAGAAACTAGGGTTTGGTAGGTTAAGGTAGGGTTTTGGGGCTTCCCCAAGACCCAAAAGCAAAGCTGATCTGTTGGAGGATTGGTTTGGCGTACAGGGTTTAGGGCCTCTAGGGGCGTTAAAGGGTTAGGGGTTTCGGGTTTAAGGGTTTAATCGTTTGTGGAGGTCAATTCTAATGAGCTTTGTGGGGTCTACTTAGAGGATCATGGGACTTAGTAAGTAGGTTATAACTGGGGTTATAAGTCCCCTAAGTGGGGTTATCCTAATTATAACCTACTTATAACCTTACTTACTAAGTCCCATGAGCCTTTAAGTAGACCCTAAACCCTAAACCCCATAGATCCCTTTAAGGATCCCTATAGATCCCTTTAAGGAGCCCTTAACGAACCTTACTAAGTCCCATGAGCCTTTAAGTAGGGGTCTTTGGGCTTAAACAGTTCGCGGGCTGACTTCTGAAGGGTTTAGGGGGCTTTCCTGTTTCAGGCCTTAGGGTTCTGGGGCTCAAAGTTCTAAGGGTTTAGGTATTTTTTTCTAAAGTGCACTGACCTTTCTCCGGTTTAGGGGTTTAGGGAATTGGGGTTTAGGGTTTATGGGTTTAGGGGTGTCAGGGTGCAGGTGTTTCCGGTTTAAGGTTCTGCTTCACCAGTTCACCCCCGAGAACTGGGTTTCGGCCTGGTCGTTCGGGAGTTGAGGGTACTGCATTTGGGTATCCCAAACTCACAAAACCCAAACTCTAGAAGCATTTAGGTATCCAAAACCCAAATTTAGGTATCCAAAACCCAGACTCTAAAAGCACCGCATTTAGGTATCCAAAACCCAAACTCGAACAGCACTGCATTTAGGCATCCAAAACCCATCAAACTCACGAAGCCCCCAACCGACAGCCCTAAACTCTGAGTTTTGGGAACATCCCACTCCTACGGTTGATGATATAAATCCTGCACTACCTTGGGGGCCCTAAGCCCTGGGAATTATGGTATACTCCTCGTTATGGGCTTTGGGTAATGCAGGATTTATCCCATCAACCGTATTCCTGCATGCTCATTGTTTGATTCTTCGGGCCGCTTCCCTGCCTCAGCCACGGAGTGCAGCTACTGCCAGCACAAAGGCCAAGAAACACCTCGATGCGCACGCACAGTTTGGGGTGTCGACATTTCTGAGCGTGTAACTGACAACTGCAGGAGCAATTTTCTTGGCCTACAGAGACCACCATACTATGAACTATGCTGTCACATACACTCACCAATATTCAATGGAGTAATGCGCACTCACCAACACGCTAACCCAACAATGCAAACTGGACCTATGGACACAGTGTCTCGCTGTAAGCCAGGAGACCATTATAGCCGTCTTGCTCTACCTTTGTCTAAACCCTAAACCCTAAACCCTGAACTCTGGTACATTTCAGAGTGGCCTTTCTCATGCTCCCGATCCTCCCTTAACCAAGACTCTAAAGCTTAAGCTCTGAACCCTTACAAACCAAACTCTTAACCCATGAACCCTAAGCTCTAAACTTTTAACCCCTGACACCCTTAACAACAACTACTCAGGGTCTAAGTCAAGTTCAACGTTGACCCCCCCCCCCGGTTGAAGAAAAGCTCCGAACGCTTGCTCCCCTGGTCCTGGTATGCAGGCCTAGACTTTCAGGGAAAAAGCGTTACTGTGCTGGTTCCCCCCCTAAACCTAAACCCTAAACCCTGGCCCTAAATGTCAATCCCAGGATGCAAGTGCACATCCGGCTGCCGCGCGAAGGCACAAGAGTTTGTCTGTAGTGGGAAAAGTCTGCGGTAGCCTCTCTGTAGTCACCGGGGGGTGGGTGTGGTTCTAAGTTGTTGGAAGGGTTAGGTCGTTCGGCGAGTTGACTGTCTGTGCTGTTGTTCCCAAGTCAGTTCTAGTTTAACATTGGTAGCGGAGCCTCGGTCGTAGTCCGGGGCTCGTAGGCTGTCTCTGTTTCTTTTTGCTTCTGTCTAAAGTTTTGTTTACGGGGCCATGTCGAGCCCACCGGAGACTGCCGAAGAGCAGGGTGACGCTGCTGATCCGTGGGCGGGTTGGCAAGGAGTGGAGCACGCGACGGCTCAGACCACAGCACCGGACGGTCAAGCTCCTGACCAGAACCTACCGTCTGAGCCGCCAAGCACTACAGATGCAACTCAGGAATGGGATGATAGCCGGTGGACACCTGCCGGACAGAACGCTCGTGGCTGGAGTTGGGACAGCTGGAGCGACTCCGCCTGGCGGTGGGGAACCTGGCAGGGGAGCCAGGATTGGTCCTACCGTGCCGACCCATGGAGTGCCAGAGACCAGAGAACTTTTGCCGGAACCTGGGACGCTCAAGGGGCGCCCCTTGACTCAGGATCTCAAGGAAGCCGTGACGGAGACCACAGCTCCAACGACAGCGGCAGCGGACGCGCGGAGCCTCCGACCTCTTCGACACGATCAGGGACCGGGTCGGGGAGATCAGGCGACGATGATTCAGGACCGCCGCCTACTACGCGACCCGGGACTATGACTACAGATGGGGTTGGAGCGGTCTCTACTACGCGACCCGGGACTACCGCTACGGCACCGAGCCATGGAGATGAGAGCGGCGGTCCCTGCTTGACCGCTTGGAACGAAGATGCTCGCCAGAACAAGGGCGGCCTCAGCGAGCGAATGGCTGTTCCTACCTTCAGTGCCGAGGGATCAGGGGATTCTTTGGGGCTGAGTGCTCGAAGCTACCTGAGGCAAATGGACGCATGGTGCAAAGTGACGCGGGCTCCTGCCAACCAACGAGCCCTTCTACTATATCAGTCCCTAGGCGGCCGCGCCTGGGTGGAGGCTGAAGAGCTCAACGTCGATGACCTCGGGACGGACGCCGGAGTGGAGATCCTCAAGGCGTGGATACAAGAACGGTACCAAGAAGTTGAAGTATCCAAAATAGCAGAAGCTTTGACGCAGTTCTTTCGGAAGCTGCGCCGCCAACCTTCGCAAACTGTCCGAGAGTTTAACTCGGCCTTTGACCGGGCCTACGCCCGCCTCATCGAGATCGACTGCAAGCTCCCGGAGGTGGCCAAGGCCTGGGTGTACTTGAGTGCCCTTAACCTCACGAACTCCGAAGAGCTCTCCTTGCTTGCCAGTGTCAACAACGAGTACGTCGTCTCCAGGTTGCAGAAGGCCGCTACCTTGCATGAGAAGAGCCTGCAAGCCCCGTGGCGAAGGTGGAACAACGCCCCCGGTGGAGGCGGCGACCGTCGCGGAGGACCCCGCGGAACCTACATGACCGAGATCGCCGAGGAGGGGGAAGAGGAGTACCCCGACGGGGAAACTATTCTACCTGAAGAAGAAGCGGCGGAACTGCACGAGGCGTTCATGGCTCAAGAGGCAGCCAAGAACCGATATCGAGAAGTCAAGTCGCGAGGATACGGGAACGGCCACGACAACAAGGAGGACTACAAGTCTGCCGCCGCAGAGCGCCTTCAGCAAGCAAAGGCCAGGTCCTACTGCGCAGGTTGCAAGCGCAGGGGGCATTGGCACCGGGATCCGGAATGCCCTCTTAATTCCGGAAAGACGACCCCTACGGCCAGTGGGACGCCGGATGCTGGAGCTACGCGGAAGGGCGAGATGACCAAGGACGCCTACGTGGTGCACGTGGCCTACGAGGTGGGCGAGTGGAACAACGAGGGCCTCTACGCGATCACGGACTCCGCCTGCAACCGGACAGTTGCAGGAGAAGGATGGCTCCAGCGATACCTTGAGGCAAGCCGCCGATGTGGCCTTCGGGAGCAACTGCTCCCCTGCTCTGAAGACTTCAGGTTCGGAGCCAGCCGGCTCTTCCACGCGAACTACACGGCGACGATCTACATCGAGATCAAGGGCAAGGGATTTTGGATCCGAGCGGCCATCGTGACGGGAGAGGTTCCCCTTCTCCTGAGCAGGTCTCTTCTTGCTTCCCTGGGAATGGTCTTCGACCTCGAACGCCACACCGCCAGCTTTCGCAACTTAGGCGCCGAGGAGATCAAACTCCACTACACGGCCTCGGGACATCCAGCAGTTGCCGTCAATCCCAAGCCAGCGGTGAGTCTGGAGTTTCCGAGCCCCCAACAGTGGGGCACCCAGGAGATTATCATGATCGAGCCGACCCGTCAGCAATACACGGTGTTCATGGTGAGCGCAAGGGATGAGCCTCAAGACCCCAGAGTAGTTCAAGAGCCACATGGTGATCGCGAAGCCAACAATCATATACTGTTTCCAAAGAAGCTTAACGATGTAGTCACGAACCTCCTCACGGCCGATGTTTTGAATGCTCACTCTTTTTCATCCTGGTGGAAACAGACCAAACAGAGTAACGACTTCTGGATCGAGACCCCACAGGCCTTCTCCCGGATTCATATCACGCCTCGGAGAACTTTCTTCTACCCAGATAAGTGGAGGACCCCTTATGCCGAACTGAGAGGTCGCTTGCTTGCTGCACTCGGGAGTGTTAGAAGCACGTGGTCAGTGGCATGCATGAACTTCAGTGGCCTGGAAGCAGTACATGACATGTGGGAACACGGAGCGCATCAGTCCCGCGACGTCCTTTGGATCGGAAGAAGTGTGTTTGCCCGAAGGCCTTCCTACCTGCCGCGCCCTCTCAATGGCAACTCGCCCGAAGAGCCTATGGGACATGACGAAAGCCGAGCTGATCGCCACCGCGAGCGAGGAAGGTGTGACCTACCACTCGTCGTGGACCACCGGAGAGTTACGTTCGATACTTCAGGATCAGCGCCAAGCGTCCAAGACCGCCAGTCCTGTGAAAGGACTGTCGTCGATGACCCTGCCAGAGCTGAGGGTGAAGTGTGCGGAACTGGGACTGGAGTTGCCCGAGAAGGCAACCAAGGGGCTGCTGACAAGGATGATCCGGGACCAAGTGACCCCGCCGGACCAGGAGGTGGTCACCTTCGGGCGCTACCGGAACCACAAGATGTGCGAGGTCCCGCGCGGCTACTTGGAGTGGAGCATCAAGGAGACTACGAGCAATGCGAATGCGTCCCACGAACTGAAGCAGATGGCGGCCTACGCGAAGGCGAAGTTCGAGAAGGAAGCGCTTGGGACGCACGGGGCGCCCGACCCCGAGGAGAACTCGGTGATCCCCTACCACCATCACGAGGACGCGAGGTCATCGAGGACGTCGAGGACCGGGTGGTCGCTGGTCCAATCGAGCTCGGCGGGATACGGGAGCCAAGACCCGATCCGCCCAGGACCAAAGGCCGCGACCAAAGCGGCCGCGAAGAGTCTGACTCGGAAGGCACCGGACGGAGAGCAACGCCCCCAACCGATGCAAGCGGATCTACCCCCGGAAGCTCTACAGGAGATCAGCGAGCTGATGACGAGGCTGGCTGTGTTGCGAGACCGGTACAATCTAACCGAGGACAGCCAGTGACCGACGGAGTGAGCTGCGAACCTATGAGCCCGACGGGGGACACCATGCACGAGCCGGACCACTACGAGGAAGAGGAGTTCTTCGATTGTCTGGAGGAACATCATGAAGAGCAATGGCGACTTGACGTTATGGACATGGAGCGGGAGGCAAAAAGGGCCAAACGCGAGAAAGACTTCAGCTATAACACGGCCGGGAACTTGATCAAGAACCTCGCCCGACATGGAAGCCGAGATCGACATCGCCAATGCGTACCCAAGGCTGGGCACGTCGTTGCCCTTGGAGCCTACTCCTACGGCGCCTTCCACGGGATCAACAACAAGACGCTCAAGTTCCCCCAGACCGCGCTCTACCTGAACGCCTGGGCCAAGAGCCAAGGGTTTGTTGGATCATGGACTTCCTTGTCAGTCGCTGTGAATGTGGGACACCGCCTTCACAAGGACAGCAACAACCTGGACGGCAGTGCCAATCAAACCATTTCGTTTGGAGCCTATGATGGAGGTCGGCTGTGGATAGAGAGCACCGCTGGCCCTCATGAAGGTCCTCGCGAAACCGACCCAACAGAGATCCACGGCCCAAACGGAGAGGTGATCAAGGGGTACTATGTGTCCACCAAGGAGAATGTCTACGCCTTCGACCCCAAGCGGCGACACCAAGTCGAAGCCTGGACTGGGGAAAGAATTTCGCTGTCCGCCTACACCGTACGGGGCGCTTCACATCTCAACCCCCATGAGGACGACTTTCTACGAAGTGTCGGTTTCCCTCGCCAAGGAGATCCTGGCCGAGCTCTACAACCACAAGCTGTCTCTGAAGAGATCGCGTGCAGCCGCCCTAAGAAAAGTGTTCGGAGGCAGCTCTGGAAACATGCGGCTCAGGCCAGCGCTCTTCTTGCTACCACTTTGTCCGCAAGCCAGAGTTATGGGATTGAGTATGCCCCTAAGGTCGACTATGAAGCCGTGAACCTCCTGGAGATCGGCGACTACACTCAGAGCGTTGCCGCGGCAGAGCTCCAAGTTAACCTCGCCGAGCCGATCGACCCGGAGAACCTCTTCGCAGAAGGAGGCCTTGAGCATGCTATCGCCAGGGTCAACGACTCAATGCCCAAGGTCCTGTGGTACCATTTCGAGAAGAACCGCGAAGACCTCAACTACCTGGAACAAATCAGCAAGAAGCACGTCGAGGAAGGACGCAAATTAGTCATCGAGACCACGTACGGCCCCGACGAAACAGAGCACAAGGACATCCTCCGGATCTACGGCGATTACAAGGTGAAGGCCTACCCGGTGAAGGAAAGGTACGAAATTCATGTACAAGGAGAAAGTGAACTACGCCTACCCCGCGAAGCATGGGCAGTCGATGGAGGACCCGAACCAAGCCGGTCTTCTGATGGAAAAGGGGCGTCAGCAATTACGTTCCCAGAAGGAACATCCTCACCGGTCAAGGCCGCGCTGACCAGACTACACCAGAATCTGGGACACCCATCGGTGTCCGACCTCACTAGGCACCTGAGGTTTGCGGGAGCCGACGACAAGGTGCTTGCAGCGGCGAAAGGGATGAGGTGTCAGACCTGTGACCGAACCAAAAAGGTTGCCGCCCCGAGACCGGCGACTCTCCCTTCATTCCTCGACTTCAATGCCCTGGTGAGCGTCGACGTCTTTCATGTGTTCGACGTAAGGCGAAAGAGACATGAGCTACTCTCCATCATCGACCACGCGACCACCTACCACCTTGTGGCCGTTTTGGATGGACACTCCACAGAGGCCTTCGAGAAGGGGTTCGTTAACCTATGGGCCCGCGGCTTCGGAGCTCCGAGAGTGATTGCAGCCGACCTAGAGTCGGGTCTGCAAAAGGGCCTAGGTCGCTACACCGACTTCACCGGGACCAAGCTGCGCAGTAAGGCCGGACAGGCCCACTGGCAACAAGGAATGATCGAAAGGCACGGGGGCTGGTACAAGGAGATCCTCAACAGGGTGATCGACGAGCACTCTGTTCACGGCGACGAGATACATCTCGCCGTTGCCGCGGTCAACTCCGCAAAGAACGAGCTGAGGAGAAAGCATGGGTTTTCCCCAGCACAGGCCGTGTTCGGAAAGGACCCGGCCTATCCAGAGGAACTTCTCAGTGGCCGTGACGAGGAGCAGTACATCGAGATGATCACCGAGGACCGCCAGCGCCAGAAAGAAATCGCGATCCGCAGTGCAGCCAAGGCCGCTTTCTTCCGGACACAAGTCGACAATAAGTTCCGGAGGTCCCTCCTACAACGTGCCCGAGTAAAGCATGGAGCCTATGCCCCAGGGCAGATGGTGTGTTTCTTCCGCATCGAGAAGGTCGCCACCAAACGCGGGAAGTGGAAGGGGCCAGGCGTTATCCTAGGAGGTGAGAACGGGAACTGGTGGATCAGCCACGGAGGACGATGTCACCTCACGGCCGAGGAACATATGCGACCAGCTACTGCTGAGGAGCTCGGCGACTTGATGAACTCCCGAATTGCGAGAGCAGACCTAGAGAAGCTGCTGGCGGGCGAAAGCGAAGATCATGAAAACTACAATCTACCAGGCGGTGACGGACCAGAAGAAGGAGACGAGGCGATGGAGCTTGACGACGAAGGCATGGAATTGGAGCCTCCGCAAGACGAAGGCCCCGGACTACATGAAGTACCAGAAGGCGGAGAACCAGAAGACCCACAACCGTACGGGCCAGTCCGTCACCGCCTCCGGCAGAAGGCTCCTCATCCTCACTCCGTCAACATCCTCAAGAAATGCGTCACTCAGAGGTCCAGAGAGAAGCAATATGAGAAGGAGATCCCGTGGAGCATGATCCCACCGGAACAACACGCCGCCTTCAAGCAAGCAGAACTCAAACAGCTCCAGGAACACTACGACCACAAGGCCTTCACCCCACTCACCAAGGAGGAGAGCGACATCATCTACAAGACCACTCCGAGCGAACGGATCCTAACATCAAGGTGGGCCTACAAAGACAAGAATTGGAGCAAACGGAAAGGGGACGAGTCCATCGGATGGAAACCCAAAGCCCGGATCGTAGTCGGGGGACATCTCGACCCCGATAAGTTCGACGTCAAGACCGATGCACCTACCATCAGCCGGCTGGGACTCCTTACCATCCTACAACTGGTGGCGTCGCACCAGAAAGACCTCAAGCCCTGGACAGCTGCCGCAGGAGACGTTTCCGCCGCATTCCTCAATGGACCACCAATCAAAAGACTCCTCTATATGAAGCAACCGAAGACCGGATTTGCTGGAATGGAAGAAGGCGCACTTCTTCGCATTGACAAAAACATCTTCGGATTGGTGGATTCACCCCGGGAATGGTGGTCCGAGTTCCGCGACAAGGTCCTAGAAAAGGAGATCAACCACGAAGGCGAGACCTACCGGTTCAAGCAGTCCCCGCTCGACCCGTGCCTGTTCTTCCTCTACCTGAAGGACGACCCAGATCAAGTACCACGAGGCTACCTAGGAGTCCATGTTGACGATGTACTGGTGGCTGGAGAAGGCAAACTCTCCGAGTCGGTGAGGAGAGGACTAAGTGAAGCCTTCCCAATAGACGATTGGGAAATCAACAACTTTGAGTTTCTGGGGTCAAAGATCTGCGTTGATGAGAACGGAGTTAGGATTGACCAGAGCCACTACACCAGCACGCGGTTGTTCGAGGTCTCCGTCGACAAAGATCAAGACGACATGGCTATGGCAACAGAGGAGCAGCGCATCGACAACCAGAGTTTAGTGGGGGCTTTGTCGTGGCTTGGATCGCAGACCAGGCCAGACTTAACTTGTGGAGTATCCATGGCGCAACAACTACAGAAGCACCCCACAGTGGGCGACATCCGCTTCACCAACCTGCTCGCACGACGCGCCGAAGCACATCGTGACAAAGGAATATGGTTGAAGCCTGTCGACTTGGAGAACTACGAGATCTTCACCTACCACGACTCAGCCTGGGCAAATGCCCACCTAGATTTGGCGGGCGAAGAAGGATTCAACCTGACCAAGGAAGAGCACGAGCAAGGCGAGATGACGGGAACGCCCTACGACTACAAGGAGCGCAAGGTCAAGAAGGCAAACTCCAAAGTCGCGAGCCAGTACGGAATCCTTATCCTGATGGCAGAGCGCAACTGCTTTTCACAAGGTGGAGGACAGTGCAGCCTTCTGGAGTGGCGATCTGCTGCAGGAAAGAGGGTGTGCCGCTCTACTTTTGGAGCAGAGACTATGGCGTGCTGCGAGGGATTGGAGGCTGGACAGTTCGTGAGGTCTTTTATGGAGACCACCTTGACTGGGAAGCTGTGCAGAATTGAAGCTATGTTTGGACGAAGATTGCACTGCTTTTCAGATTGTCGTTCCCTATACGACCACGTCCATCGACAAGGACTACCTCGTGTTCCGAGCGATAAGCGGCTAGCCGTAGACCTAGCTGCTATCCGCCAGATGATGGACCAAGAGCAACAAGGTGGTCGCCTGCTTCTTCACTGGATACCTACTTATGTGCAGTTAGCAGATGTACTCACCAAGCCGATGATCGCGGACGGCTGGTGGAAGCTAATGTCTGAAAAGCTGTATATCCCTCTGAAGGAAGAGGAAAAGTAGAACCAGTGTCAATCCCAGGATGCAAGTGCACATCCGGCTGCCGCGCGAAGGCACAAGAGTTTGTCTGTAGTGGGAAAAGTCTGCGGTAGCCTCTCTGTAGTCACCGGGGGGTGGGTGTGGTTCTAAGTTGTTGGAAGGGTTAGGTCGTTCGGCGAGTTGACTGTCTGTGCTGTTGTTCCCAAGTCAGTTCTAGTTTAACACTAAACCCTAAACTATAAGTATAAAGGGCTCGTGGCTTTCCAACTCAGGTCGCCACCTCGCCATCGCAGCATCGTCGGTCAGGCCACCCTGGCTCGTCGGAGGGATGTGCTTCAGAGGTCTAGGATGCAGCACTAAACCCCCTAAACCCTATACCGTAAGCTCTAAGCCCGTAAACCCTAAACTCCCTAAACCCGATACCGCAAGCTCTAAACCCTAAACCCCTAAACCCTAACCCCTAAAACCCTAAACCATCAAGCTCAAGATCGACCCCTTGTTGCAACCACCTACCCCGGGTCTTTCTACACAGACTTAGGGTCTTGTCTATCTAGATCCCCCCTTGAAAATCTTGCTTGTGCCCTTTTGCCGGGGACTCTAACCCTTAGGGTCCAAGTAGTCCTTATATATTGGTTTTCGGTACCTCAAAAGGCCCTAAAGTCCTGTAATAGGGAATACTTGGACCCTCAACTCCTAAAACAGTAGGTTTTGAAAAAGTCACCAAACCCTAACCCTAAACCCCCCAAAAACAGTAGCTAAAGTCCTGTAGTAGGGAGCACTTGCTTGGGGAACCTGAGAGGGGGTGACCTTCGGGATTGCATGGGGACCCAAAATGCTCGAAGGTTCCTTCCTAAGATAACCCTGCAGCATATACCCATTGCTTACGGGGCCTTAAGACATTGGAATAAGGTTTTTTTTGCATTTTGTACCATACTTATGCCAAGGAACCACCAAGATAGTATAGGTACTTATTAAGGCCCCTAGCGTACTCTACTCCTAAGCGCTTCTTGGGGGCACTCAGAAGCAAGGCCATGGGGAAGGCAGGGGAAGTCGAAGTAGAGGCTCCAGGGCTTGGGGGCTTGAAGGTCTAGGGCTTAGGAATTAGGGTTCAGGGCTCATGGGAGTTAGGATTAAGGGGACCCTTGGGGATAAAGACCCTCTCAATAAGGTCCCTTTTAAGAGAGCCAGAAGTAGGGTTCAGAAGGGGTACCCTTTAAGGGGTCTCTCAAATAATACTACCTAGCTTAGGAGTTTCAAGATGAAAAGTAGTGATCCCAGTTCTGGGTTTTCGGGGCTTGGGAACTAAGATTAAGGGTCAGGCCTAAGGACATTCTTATGAGATGATATGACCAGTACTATTCTTATGAGATGATATGACCAGTACTACCATTGCTGTTAATGGCTACCATTATTTGTAAACTTGTAGTAGCAACAGTGGGTATTGAACAGCAATCAGTACATGGATTGTGCCAGCATTCCACAACTTTCGTCCAACGATGTAGCACAAGGCCACCTCCGGTGCTGTTGTGCAGGGTTGAAAGACAACCTAGCACTGCTTCATTGTCTGTCTCTGAAGCCGTTAATGCTTCTTGAACCCCCAAGCCCGAAGCCTTGTGAGACTGATGTCTTTGCAAGCCGAATGCGAAGAACACAGCAACAGCAGCAAGATAAAGGCTCGACAGGTGGAAGGCGAAAGTGAACTAATTATGCCACAACCAACCGCAAGGACAACAACTCGATGTGTATTTGGGGTACTTTGGAAAGCCTAAATCAAAGAATGTCCGGACTCTGTCGCCGCCAAGCTCTACTGCCCATTCCCCCGGTCATGCCTCCAGATTGCTCCTGGGCCCATGATGCTTTGGGAAGAGTGCTGGGCATGGCCCTAAACTGATGGGATGCCAAACGGGGGGGTTTAGGATTCTTGGGGTAGGGATTCCTTAATATGAGCCCTATTATGGGAACCCTAATCCCTACTAAACCCCGGTAGGCTAAAACGCCTTTTGGTCTCCTATGATAAACCCTAAACCATGGGCCTAAAGTTAAGGGCTCCTTCATTTCGTCCCTTGATTTCGGATGCTGAGCATCCTTTTCCGCAACTAGCAGCATACTCTGTCGGTGGCAATAGACATAGTTAAGACGAAACCGGAACCCTTATGTAGAGGCCTTATGATTAGAATGGGGGTTTGGGGGAGCTTGTACTGTAATCACACAAAGAAACCATTAGGAATAAGATCGGTATTGAGTCAGGCCCCCCCGAGAAGTACTCAACCTTCCAACACTACAAGTTCAGCTTGCTGTGTTCGGAGTGCTATTCTATGACTGCATCAATCGGAGTCAGTCCTACATGCGACATCCTTTGTAGAACCTTTCGAGGGGCCCCCCCAAGACCTCTAAATCCAAGCGCCCACACCCCAAAAGAACCCTAATTACACTGCGAATCGTAAACCCCACTAGAGAAAACCTACACCCCCGAAGCCTGTAAGACGCTCAACTCTACTTTACTGGGTAACCCGACACCGCACGCCTCGCCTCCAAAACCTCAAAACCCTACTCGGCCAACTACGTGACCCCACACCTCAAAACCCTACGAGGCCTACCCCACACCTCAAAAGCCTCCAAAACCCTCAAAAACCCTACCAAGACAAGGAAACTGTAAACTCAAAACCCTAAACCACAAAACCCCCAAAACCCTGGACCGAGAAGCCCCAAACCCTGGACCGAGGCTTCAGACGTTGTGGTTGTACTTCCCACAGTCGTTGTCGTTGTGACAGAGCTGACAGGGACCTGGCCCGTTCTCACGGTTTAGGGTTTAGGGTCTTGTAGGGGTTGCAAGTGTAATACACTTGGCTGCTCCTACTCTTGGCGTGTGTACGCAGCTTTAGTGATCAAGAGCCTGCTGGGGAAGCAGAAAAGTCCTGAACCGCTCGCGCCGTTCATTGTGCATCTGCGAAGCTACGTCTTGGTCACGACTCAGCTTGAGGGGAATCGGATAGCGTGCTACCCGCTTGCATGGTAGCGGAGCCTTGCTCCAGAGAGTGAGGCTCGGAAGTGATCCAGGGGAACAGAGAAGGAAAGATCTCCATCCGCGAGAGCCGAAGGAGATATGTCAGCGGGAGCAGCGCAGCCGACCCGGAACAAAGATGGGATACCATTGTGGGATGGAGACCCATCCTCTTACACGGAGTTCGCAGAAGCAGCGAGGCTGTACGAACAGTCCGTGGAACCTCACAAAAGAGCACAAGCAGGTCCGAGGATAGCGGCAGAGCTATCCGGTGCAGCCAGGAGATACGTGATCGGCCAGCCGGCAGACTGGCTGTCGTACCAGGGCGGAGTTGACCGTCTACTTGAGCACTTACGAGTGGGGCTTGGACAGCCTCGCATCATGGAGGTCACGGAGCACCTCAACAAGTACTTCAAGGCGAGCCGGCGGAAGAACGGCGAGACGATCAACGAGTACCTGGCCAGGAAGAATGAAATCTACCTGAGGGCGCAACAAGCACTCCAACGAGTACTACCACACCAGACGGCAGGAAAGCCCAAGGCGGAGACCTACCGCTGGGAGAACCCAGCGTATGGGAGCACCACATGGAGCCGAAGAACATCCATAGAGTCCCAGGCCGAGCCGACCGAGGACGATCCCACGGACGAGAGCACGACCACGGGCGGCACCAACAACTACGGCTGGGGTGATGCGGCATGGGGCCGCGGATCTCAGCAGGGAGCATGGTCCAGCTACGATGGCTGGCAGAATGCTTGGAGCTGGAGTGGTTGGTCAGAGTGGGACTGGCGTTCTACATGGAAGCCGCCGACAACGTCAGTGTTGCCAGAACTTCTACCGGATTTTGTCCAAGGCTGGATTCTGCTGCATGACGCCAATCTTGATCAGCAAGAGCGGAATTTGATTCAGACTGCAGCGGGAGACAACTACAGCGTCGCCTCCATCAGCCAGGCTCTCCGAGCTCAATTTCCTGAAGGTGAACTACGACGACGAGATCAAGGTCGACGCCATCAAGGACTTTTGGGAGATTGGGAGGGTGATGAAGGCGAGAACGGCGAGGACATTCCGGAAGTGGAGTTCGGGATGAACGCGGAGGAGGCCCTGACCGAGGAAGGCTTCGCGATCTGGAGCTCAGCACGCGAAGATTATGCCAGTGCCATGGCAGCGTTCCAAGGAGCTCGAAGAACTCTTCGAGAAGCAAGAGCCAAGCAACACAACATCAAGATGAATCGACAGTACTACCGAGGTGCAGGGCGATCCGGACCGTCTACTTCTACGGCAAGACCACGAGATGACTCCGGCCTCACGTGTTTGGCCTGTGGCAAGATCGGCCATCGGGCAGCCAACTGCCCAAATCCCAAAGGCTTCGGCCAACGCCGTGCTACAAGAGGAGGCCCCCTTCGTCATGTACGTGGATACCCAGGAGGGCGAGAGCGCATGGAGTAGTGGACCAGTGACTACCACGGCGACCGCCGTGGAGCAAGGGAAGTGCGTGATCGATTCCGGGGCCACCAAGAGCCTGGGGTCGACCTATGCCCTCGAGCGCCTTATGGCCTGCAACATCAAGGCCAAGGGCACAGCGGCAGTTCATGGAGTCGACCAGCATGACCGGCCTACGTTCGGATTTGGCAACTCCAGTTCGGATCGTTGCCTCTCGACCGTAACGATGGCTTTGCAGGCGCAAGGCCAGCCAGGCCAGATGAAGATTCATGCCCTTGATCGTGGACAAGGCCCGGTGCTCCTCTCGATTGACGCGTTGAGAAGGATGGGAGCACAAATAGATTTTGCAAACGATCTGATGGTCCTGGGAAAACTCCACAAGAAACGCATCATCAAACTCGAGAGGTCTGCAACAGGCCACCAAGTGATGTCGCTGTCCGACGACCTGTACAAGAATTCCTGTGAGGTAGATCGTGAAGTTCCAATGCTGAGTGATTTTATGCCAAAGCGTCCTACCGAAGAGTAGGGACAACTCCTTCCCCCATCGGCTCCTGACGAGAAAGGGAAGGGCGCAGTGTACAGATCAGGAGAAGGGTTGAATCACGGAGTAGGACATGTTCTTGCTGCCGTGAAGTGCACAGGTGAGGAATTTCAGGAAAGTAGAAGTAAGAGAGTTAGGTTCCAGTGTGATGCTTTTGACTCAGTTTCAACATGTCACTGTGAGCAGAGACCGCCGAGCACGAGACCAACAGATGTACTCGGTGATCCTCCTGAACAGCGTGAAGGCTCACAGTGTCCCTCCGTAGAGAACTCCCCGCGGCAGAAACATGGCCAGTCCCAAACTAACGAGCTTCGCGAGCGTCTCGAGAAGCTTGGCGAGTCTCCACCCAAGCGCTGGACGAAGATCGAACTGCTTCAGCGCATCGAGGAGATCACGGGAGAGAACCTGGGAGTTCTGGCCAAGACCAAGCGCGAGGAGTCCGAGTACCAGCGCATGGTGAAGGACTTGAACCGAGCCAGTCGGCTCAAGGCAGATCTGGTGAAGTTTTGCCAGACCGAGCTGGGATACGACCCCGGCTACAACCTGACAATTGCACAGATCAAGCGAGAGGCGATGCTGAGGGTGTACGACAAGGCCTTGCCGGACCCGACGGACGCGGTGGGCTTCGGACGCCACTGCAGTCTCAGCTACGAGGAGGTCAAGAGCTCACATCCTCAGTACTGCACTTGGGTTGTCAAGACAGCCCAGGAGGGAGAATGCGATCCGCGACTACGCCGACTGGCTGGATGGTTGGGCAACAGCCCAGCCGAGGTGAGCCAAGCCCGCACCGAGTTCCAGAAGAACATCGTGGAGAAGAAGGGGATTCAGAACAAGGGCTATGCAGAACCACCACCCAGTCCTCGCGGAGCTACGAACAAGGCAGCGGCAAGTGTCGCAGCATCATCGGCCAGTGGCAGTCGTGTCACTGTGGGGAGTGCCCAGCTACAGGAGCTCCTCGAGACCATGCAGTACTTGAAGGAGGAAGTGTCGACTTTGAAGGAGGAGCGCCCTCGGAAGAAGGGCACCATCGAGGACGCCGAGAGCTCATCGACCCAGAGCTACACCATGGTGTCCAAGCCGAAAGCCCCCTAGAGAGCGACGACGAGAGTGAGAGTGAACCATCGAGTGCCTCAAAGAGGCTGAGCCAACAGCTGAGCTTAGGACAAGCACGGCGACTTGAAAAGGAGTCATATGAGATGGTTCCAAAGATTTTTGAAGGATTGGTGGCCCATGAGCGGCCAGCTCTCATGGAGATTGCGTGTTCTCCAGACAGCCTACTGGCAGCCACGGTACAAGGGATGTGCCAGAGTGAAAAAGCAGCAAGTCGTTGTGCAGCGTGGAACGATTGTGATTTGAGCACGGCAAAGGGAGTCGCACTTGTGATGCAGAGATTACAGCATGAAAGGCCACGCCACGTGTGGCTCAGCCCATATTGTGGTCCTTATTCCCCACTGCAAAACGTTAACCAGCGCACGGCCCAACAGTGTGACGATTTGAAACAGAAGCGGAAAGCTGCCCTGAAGATGTACTTAGGTGCGGTCAGCGTTGCGCATGCATGCTGGCAAATGGGCATACATTTCACGTGGGAATGGGCTGAACATAGCAATGCGTGGAGATTGCCCCTCATGCAGCGTTTGATCAAGAAGTGTAACCTCTACTCTGCTGTGGTCAAGGGCTGTAGAGTGAATCTGCGACAGGCTAAGGACGACCGGTTGCTTAAGAAAGGTTGGAGGCTGGTGACCACGTGTAAAAGACTGGCGGAGCAGATGGAAATGCCATGTAGGTGTCAACCGGAGTACGTCCATGGTAGATGTGAAGGTTCCGAGGCTCATAAGAGTAGTGGATACACCCCTGAATTCACGAAGAGAGTGGCTCAGGTGATCGTTCAGGAACAGAGTTTGACTCAGGTTTTACAGGAGGGTCAAGGAGAAACGTGTCTGCTTGAGGGTTTCGGCGAGGGTCCTGTGTGTAGGTGTACAGAAACATGCACGAGTGAGGCCCAAGTCCCTTGCGGTATGTGCTGCTTGCAACAACAGGTGAACACTGACACTGGTTCAAAACAAGGACCCATGGAGAACCCAGGAGAATTCTCAAGTCCTCAAGCCCTCGAAGGAACCATCACCCCTGAAGAGTACGATGCCTTAATCAGCCTGGAGGCCCGAAGCGCGGTTGAGCAACAGGCACAAGAACTCCAAGCTCAGCGTAGGTACACTTGGCAAGATTGTGAGCAACTCCTTCAACAACTTCCCATACAAGCTGTGGTGAAACATCGAAAGATGCTAGGAGACAAGAGAGCCGTGTATCTGGTTCTGGGTTTGTACTCGTATGGCAATCATTACGGCACCACCAAAAAGACCTGGATGTTCCCTGAAGTTACTAAGTATCTGAACAGATTCTTTGAGGCCCACAACGAGAAAAGGTTACCCCGAACTTCTATTGTGGTGAGTATCAACAACAGTCTTCCTCTTCATACTGACCGCCACAACGATCAGAACTGTGATAACTGTCTGATTGGTTTGGGTTCCTACGACAAGGGAGGCTTGTGGATTCAACATGATAACAGACATACCCCAAACCTCGAAAGCCAACAAGCCCGCCGGTTGCCCAACGGCACGATGTGTCATGGGACGATTCATGCGACAAGGAGGAGTGTGGTTCGGTTTCGTCCAGGGTTGTGGCATGAGACTGAAGATTGGACTGGGGACCGCGTGGTTGTGACGACGTATGTGACTAGGGGAATTCACAAGGTTTCGGATGAGGTGAAGGGTGATCTTCAGAAGCTTGGGTTCGAGCTGAGAGGGATCCCGGAAGAGCCACAAAGCTGTCTTGTTGAAACCAGCCCGGAGGCCCTTGTAGGAGAGGACCAACGTAGGAAACAAGCTGAGGCCCAAATCCAAAAGCAGTTGTACCTTCTTCACGCAGCCACCGGACACGGTAGTAACAGAACCATGATTGAAGCCCTGAAGCGCCGCAATGCCACCCCACACATCCTTGAACTGGCTCGCAACTTCAAGTGTTCTGTGTGTCATGAGCGAAGAAGGCCACCACCTAAGAACCTTGCTTCATTAGAGACCTTGCCGCCTAAATGGCAGACAGTATCCGCTGATATTGGGCATTGGTTTCATGCGGGGAGCGGGGAACACGTTCAGTTCATGCTGGTGATTGATGAGGGCTCTCGGTTTCGGATTGGGAAGATTCTGAGCAGAGGCAGCAAGCAGCAGCCTAACGCGGCCACGTGCTTGTCGTATCTTCGGGAAGGTTGGATTCAGATCTTCGGATGGCCTGGGGCTTTGAGATTAGACCCTGCGGGTGCGTTTCGGAGTCAACAAGTTCAAGAGTTTTGCGACCGACACAACATATATTTGGACTTGATTCCCGCGGATGCCCACTGGCAGTTGGGGGTATGTGAACAGGCAGTCCAAGGTGTCAAACAGGTGATGGGGAAGATTAGCGAAGACCATCCCGAGATGCCCGTTGAAGAAATCCTGTCTACTGCCATTCATACTTTCAACAGTAGGGAACAGATCCGAGGCTTCACCCCTATCCAACATGCGTTTGGTAGGAATCCGGACACCACGGGAAGGTTGTTTCATGAAACTGGTCAGGCTTCTGAAACCATCTTGGTGGAGAGTGCCGATAAAGACTTCGAAAGAACGGTTCAAGCTAGAGCGTCCGCCGAGAAAGCCTTGTGTGACTGGGTCGCTCAACAAAGACTGAACCGTGCCTTTAACTCCAGAAGTAGACCAGTGTACGACTACAAGCCAGGCGAGCTAGTTTACTTTTGGCGCTCCCAAGAGAGCGGCAAAGGCAGGCGACAGCCCGGAGGGAAGCACGGCCGCTTCCTAGGACCCGGTCGTATATTGGCGACCGAGACACGGAGAGACCCGAATGGACAGCTCCGGCCAGGGTCTTCGGTTTGGGTTGTTAGGGGACGCAACTTGTTGAAGTGTTGTCCTGAGCAGCTGAGGAGAGCTTCGGAGAGAGAGGAGCTTCTTGAGTCTTTGGCTAAAGACGAGGGAGACGGAGGAACGCCTTGGACGTACAACCGTGTTGTTGAAGAGATAGGAGGTAACCAGTATGAAGACGTCTCCCAAGAACGCCCGGAGGTTGAAGAATGGCATCGTGCCCAGGACCCCAGTCAAGAAGAGACTCCCCCAAGGTTCCGTATCAATAGGAAGCGCCCAAGTCCTGTTGGTGAAGAAGTAGATCCCATGGAAGTCCCAAGTGAAGCCTCTGCAGCTTCCCGGCCCTCAAGGAGCGCCCGAACACAGCCAACAGGTACCAACTTCGTTGCTGAGGCTTGGTGGTCCACAGTCTCCGACAAAGCTTACGGCGAGGAGTCAGCATTCTGGGCAAGCAAGGACGCGGCTGTGGAAGTCGAGATCCCCCTACCTGAAAGTAAGAAGGGACAGCAGCTAATGATGTCTGACATGACGGCGTACCTAGTCAGCAACTTGCGTCGTAGGGCTGTTGAGGTTAGTGAAAAGAGGTTGGGTGAAGAGGAAAGAAAGGCTTTTGGAGAGGCCAAGGCGGTTGAGGTTCGCAACTTTATTGCTGCGGAAGCCTTCGAAACCATTCCTCCTCATATGAGACCACCAAAAGAAGCGGCAATCGGGATGAGGTGGCTACTTACATGGAAAGTTCGTGATGACGGAACAGTCAAGCCGAAAGCCCGGGCAATATTGCTCGGATATCAAGACCCGAGCTACGAACATCGAGCCACCACGGCTCCTGTTATGACGAGGTTGTCACGCCAACTCTTTCTTCAATTGTCAGCGAACCAGTCATGGAAAGTCTGGAAAGGAGATGTGACTGGAGCCTTCCTTCAAGGAAGGGCATATCCGGACAAGCTTTACTGTATACCCTGTGATGAGGTATGTGATGCCATGAACATTGAGCGTGGAAGCGTCACGCGCTTGAGAAAGGCTTGCTACGGATTGGTAGATGCGCCATTGGAGTGGTATAGAACCATATCAGAGTTTTTCGAGACGATTGGTCTAGAGAGATCATGGTCCGATCCGTGCATGTGGTTGTGGCGTCCTGAAGGGAAGCTTCGAGGATGTATTTCCGGACATGTTGATGATTTTCTGTTTGGAGGCAGTGAACAAGATGCTGGCTGGCAAGATATCTTAAAACAGATTCGTGAAAGATTCAAGTGGTCCGAGTGGGAAGCCGATCGGTTTGTGCAGTGCGGAGTACAGATCGAGCAGTGCAAAGAGGGATTTAAACTGTCGCAGAGTAAGTATGTGGAGACCATCAAGGAGATTCCTCTAAGCTCGGGACGCCGCCGAGAAAAGCATCAGGAGACAACGGACCGGGAAAAGTCCCAGCTCAGAGCTCTCCTGGGAGCCATTAGCTGGCACGCTCAACAGGTTGCCGCGCACTTCTCAGCCTCAGTTAGCCTACTTTTGTCTGAGGTTGCCCAGAGTACTGTTTCAACCATCATGGATGCTAACCAGTTGCTGAACCAGGTCCGAGCCCAGAAAGACCATGTTTTAGTGATCCACAAATTTCCTCCTGAAGAAGAGTTGTGCATGTTGGCCTGGGTGGATGCCTCCAACCAGAACCGAGCAGACGGAGGGAGTACCCAGGGCATATTGATAGGATTGGGTCCTAGAAGCATGTTACAGGGCGAAGTCGGCAAAATAAGCTTGGTGGCTTGGCATTCCAACAAGGTTGGGAGGTCATGCCGAAGTCCAGGAGCTGCTGAATCTCAAGCAGCTGTGGAAGGGGAGGACAGTCTGTATCTGGCTAGATTTCAGTGGGCTGAGATGACCCGAGGCCAGGTTGATGTTCGATGTCCTGATGAAGCTGTGCGGTCTGTGATAGGAGTGATTGTGACGGATTCGCGAAATGTGTATGACAAGCTTCGGACCGAAGTTGTGACCTTGAAAGGAGCTGAGAAACGCTCCAATATTGAATTGCTCGCTCTTAAAGATTCCCAAAACCGAACGGGATTGCATATTCGCTGGGTGCACTCTGAGGCTCAATTAGCCAATAGCTTGACAAAACAAGGCGCAGGCCATGAACTCTCTCTCTTCTACAAGATGGGTGGCCAATGGCGCATCGTTGAAGATGAGAACATGCGGTCCGCCAGACGACGGAAAGCTGAAGGGCTAGAACCTCTGGTGAATAGCAGTGACAGGAAGAACTGAGTCAAATCTGGGTGTGTATGATTTCCTGAAATTCCGATCCGATTCGGGGGGCATGCAAGTGTAATACACTTGGCTGCTCCTACTCTTGGCGTGTGTACGCAGCTTTAGTGATCAAGAGCCTGCTGGGGAAGCAGAAAAGTCCTGAACCGCTCGCGCCGTTCATTGTGCATCTGCGAAGCTACGTCTTGGTCACGACTCAGCTTGAGGGGAATCGGATAGCGTGCTACCCGCTTGCAGGGGTTAGGTGTCGTAAAAGGATGAAGAACAATGATAGCTGCAAGAACATGGCTCCTACTCCTCGGCCTTCTCCTAGCAACAACAAGCCTTTCAATGACAAAGACTAGGAGTAGGAGTACTAGCAATACTCGCCGTCGTCTTGTCGTCAGCGTCCTCGTCGTCGTCGCAGTAATAGCCGCAGTCGTCGTCGTCAGTCGCCGTTGTGGTAGTCGTATTGGTGGTGGTGTTGGTGGTGGTAGTGGTGGTGGTGGTTGTGGTGTTGGTGTTGGTGCCGGTGGTCGTAGTAGTAGTCGTAGTAGCAGGAGTAGTACTACTTCCGATGCCATTGCCGGCGTGGCTTCAATAATTCCTGCTATGGTTCGTGCTAGTTGCTGTGTTTTTGTCGGTCGAGGTTGTTAGGTGTATACTACGGCCCTGCGAAAGCACCTGACTTTGTGTCGTACGCAACACATGCATGGATCAAACCGTCGCAAAAGCCTTCGCTGCAAACATCACCAAACGTAACTATTACCCAGAGGCCCCCCAAAGTATTTCCTTTTTGGATTACCTTATAGGAACCCCGGAAAGGAACTACTTTGGGGCCTTTGGGTAAAGACCTAAAGCCCAAGCCGAAACACAACCAACACCCTTCGCCCGAAACATCCGCAAACCCTCAAATGTCAAGTTTATGAAAGATCGTGCAGAGCCTGCACCGTCTTCTGAGTGAGAGTTGACGTGGTGGATGACACCTAAACACGGTCTTCCAGGTGCAACATGGGAGTTTCAGAAAATAGGGGACCGGAATACAGTACCCTAAATAGTAGGATCCTTATTATAAGGACCCCAAAATCAGCTACCCCTAATTTTCGGAAACTCCCACATGGAACAGTTAGAATAAGGCCTGGGTTTAGGGTGTCCCTCAGCCCGCGGGACTTCGAAGCTTGCCCAAAGAGCCCGAAATCACGAAACTCATCGAAAACTCCAAAATCCTCTTATTCAGGACCGTGCCTTGGTCCAAGAAACCCACTAAGTAACATAGGTCCAAGGGTAAAAGGAGGGACCCTCAATAAGGACCCCTAGGTATATACCCTTAATATAGCTATTATATACCCAGTATATAGCCCATGATAGGGTAGGGGTCCCCATTAAGGGTCCCTCCTTTTCCCCTTTGAATAGGGTAAGTTGCGTACCAAAGGGCTCTAATTAGGAGCCCGCATGGGTTTCCAGGGTGGTTGGGGTAGCGATGAGTTTAGACTTTCGGTGTAGGGTGTATAGCGTTTAGGGTTTAGGGTGCATGATGCTTGGTTTTTGGGCTTCTTCAGGGTTCAGGGTTTCGGCATGGGGGTTTCGGAGTTTCGGTGCTCAAGGCTGGCGGTTGAAACTTCACGTGCTGGCTGCTTCAAGGCTTTTTAGCAGTGATGCTCTAATGGGGTCCTCTACCCTATAATGGGCTATATAGTGGGTACATAAAAGCTATATTAAGGGTATATACCTAGCAGAAAATGTGTCAGCGTCGCAGGGCAGCTGGCTTCCGGGCCTTACACCGAAAAAACCAACTTAGCATCTAGCGTGCGGATCTGTCGTTGTGGGTCGGGCACTAGCCCTTATAGACCCCTCAAAAACACCCTTGAAAGGTTCCCTAGCCAAATTATAAAGGCCCCTACGAGGTTTGGGGTGCAGGGTTCAAGTCGACTTTGCTCGTTGGGTTTAACGGCTCATGCACTTGCCGTAACCGCCCCGACAAAAAGAAGCCCAGTTTTCAGTATCCAAGGCGTCTAGATTGCTGGGTTGAAGTGTTGAGTGTAGGGTGTAGGGTTGAAGGTACTTAGTTACCAAGCCGCAATTCTAAACCCAAACCTCAAACTCTGAGCCCCAAGCCATACATCCTCAATCGTCGAGTCTGAATCTTGCACCCTAGCCGAAGTGCCACATCCTCAGTCCCGTGCCCTACATGCCAAACCTGTCGAGTTTTTGAATTTGGCCCCGCCTCATGGTCTCTATACAAAAGCAAAACTGCGGCAGAAAAAACACACCCGTACTAAGCTATCCAGGCGGCCACATTCAACCCAAAAAACACCCTCATCAAACCGCGTAAAACCAGCGTAACAAGACGCAAAACAACTATATAATTGTGCTGAGCATGAAGTCGCCGATATTAGGAGAATTTCCAGCTACTTTATTAGAGGTCCAAACTTTTAAGTAAGGGTTCAGGGTTTGGGGTGAGTCCGAAGGCCGAGGTGGAGGACCTGAACGGTGCCCTGGTAGCCCACGTCCTGCCACAGGCTCACTAACCCGGGGCCTGAATTAAAACAAAAAGCGGGTTGAACAAGTTTTCGTAATATAGGGGCCTGAATGATCGGTATAACGATCCAAATATTGCAGAGTACCCTAGACCGAAACAGGTCCACCTCTTCAATCACGGTAGGGTTACATCAACCCTAACAGGGTAAAGGTTGCCCCTAAACCCTTACGGTACCCAAATAGATCCCTTAAAGCAATCCCTTATAACATCAACCCCAAAAGATTAAAGGTTACCTACTCAGCCACTTGGTTTCAGAAAGAAGGCCGTTTTTGGTTTGAGGATTTCTCGAACTTTCAAGGCGATAGGGCGACGAACCGTCGAGGACAAGACCCTGCCCCGAAGAAGGTCGATCTCTTGTGTTTGCGGAAGGAGTGTATGAACCCAATGAGGTTTGAGGTTCAAGCTTGCATAATTACTTACTCAGCTGCGAAGCGTTCTGATCTTCGAGGCTCTACTTGATTTGGTGATATTTGGTGCAATGTTGACTGTTGCCTTGAGAATTGAAAGCCGGAAGTTCTTGCCGCGCTCCGCGCTCTGACACAAGTACGACTTGAACCGCAAACCTGGATGCCGTTATTGTACTCAAAACCGAAAAACGCACAATACGTAAAACCCATGTAGCTCCTGTCCTTTCTTCGGCAAAGGCTCCCTTTAAGCAGAAGATGAGACCCAGCTAGATCGCCAGTCTTCAAAGGTGCGCTTGGGGCTTCTGGCCTCTCTTCTTCAACAACCGGGCCCCAAAAAGTTCAGACTTTCTAAGATAGACCCAATATATAAGGCCAAAAAGTTTAAAGTTCGCCCGTTCACTATCTAAGTGGCTTGTGTAACAGAGTGCCTTGATAATTGGAATTGGGCTTTCAGTGTGCATGAAAATGTATCTGTCAAGGAAAGGTCATAGATACTGCGACCCATCGAGGTTCAGATTTCAAGGAGACTTGTGACAAGTACAAATCAAAGGCTTGAAGAGCCGTTGTTGGTTTAGGGTTTGGGTTCAGGGCACAACGAAGCAACAAAAACACCCCGCATTGCACCACATAGGCGGTCCGTCAGCTGCGTGCTAATTTCCTGCGTGGCCAGGGTGCTGGCGCCAACTACAGAGATCTGACTATTTTATTCGCACTTTTCCTTGTGCTGTCTTACCAGGCCCCGAAACCCTAAACCCCTAAACTCAAAATCCAAAGTCACAGCATTAGAGCTCCTATATTCCGGATGTCGCATCCGGTCGCAAACAGATTCTTTCAACTTCCCTCCTCCCCTCCGATTCCTTCAAATGTCCCCAGCGGATTCTGTCAACTGTAAGCAGCAGATGCACTCTTTCATTGGTCATGAAGCTTCGACATAACGAACCTGAGATCTACGCTCAATGTCCACACTATTCGGGGCTTGGGGTTTACATTCAGAGCCCAAAGGTTTAAGCCTATGTACGGCCCGTAGTCTCGGGAATCTGATGCAACTCGAACCAAGACCGAAATTCCGAATTGCCGTGGCAAACCTGCAGTATGTTTTAAGAGGTTCAAGGTCTAGGGGCTTAATTTGGGTTTAAGAACAACCTGCCGCAAACATCCAACATCTGGCATTCATGCTGCAAGGACTTGATCGCAATCTGACATGTAAAAGCCCCTGGGTACACGATACACCCTTGGACTCTAAACCAATCCAGCTCCATCATCTGTATTATCGCCAATCTCAGCAGATCCGAATTCAAACCCTGCTTAGAAATTCTCCCTCCTTTAAACAGGGCTATCACCGGCATCCTAACACTTCAGAGCCTAAAGCGAACAGTGTTTATTAATCAGGGACTCTGCAGCAAAGCCGGAACCCTGAACCCCAAATCCTGCACCTTAACCACAAGCTCTTCAGCCAAAACCCAAACGTACATAACGATAAGTCTACATCCGAAACCCCAAGCCGCAACTTTACATCGTGAAACGTCAGGGCGGGCTCCTACCCGAGAACCCCTCCAGATCCCAACTTGGCTTCAACAGAGGGGGCTTAGGGTTTAGGGGCTTATACTTATGAGCATACTTGGAGGATCATGGGACTTAGTAAGTGAGGTTACAAGTACCTTAATTGAGGTTATACAAAGTTATAAGTATAGCTACCTTGCTTATAACCCTAGTTACTAAGTCCCATGATCCTCTAAGTAGGGAGCTGGGGTAGTCCGACGTCTGCAATGCACGTCAAGTGCCCCCTGGGTTTCCCGGGTTACAAGGGCCCAGCAAATTTCCAGTGGGCCACAGGTTACTCAGCTACGTGGGTGGTTGTCAAAATCATGATCCCTTTTGGGGTACCCTAAATATTAGGTGCCGTACTATATTAGGGACCCAAAGAAGGGACCATCATTTTGACAACCACCCTTATAGTGGGCCACAGGTTACTCAGCTACGTGTTGATCAACCAGTCATTCTTGAATCACAGCGTGAAGGCCTTCTTGCAACTTACACATGGGTGGTTGTCAAACTTAGGGTCGCTGTCTGGGTCC